TGGGCAGTAAATATACTAAATAGTGGTCAAAAATGTTTTTTGGTGCTAAGCCATTCTCTATGTTATTATTCATTCTATTATTTTAATGTCTGTTCTCTGAGAGACGGGTGGAAGGACTTTGGAACTGGGGTGATGTGCTCCACTTTATTAGTCTTACTAGTCAGAATGCAGGCAGCAGGAGTTTTGATCAGTAGCAGCTGACAGGCTGACTTTTTAGGCCGACCTGTGAAGAAACAATTACAGAAACCAATTCTACTTAAGATGAGTGCATGAATTAGTTTTTGAAGATCATGCTGAGAATTTAGTCCTTCAATCATGGAGATGTTCTTTAGCTGATAGGCTGACTTTGTTACTGTCTTTATGCGCCTCTGAAGGTTCAGGCCAGAGTTGATCACTTTGTTATAGTGGCAGCTGTGTGCTAACTATTAAACTCTCATCCCATGGTCCAGAAATGATTTTAAAAAAAATTTCTGCATAGAGATGATAATTCGAGTTGATTAAAACGATCGTAGGTTGGGGAGCATACAGACAATGAACAGGAAGGGCCCTAAGATGGACCCTTGGGGAATGTCACAAGTCATTTCTTTGTGGTCTCTGATGTAGAATTCCCTACTAACATAAGTTGGTAATGTCCTTGAATGAGATTTAAACCAGTCCAGGCGGACTACAAAGGCAGCCTGGTTTTTCAGGCCATTTAATAAAGAGTGATCAGCAGCACTGTGGATGAACCACCACTGTGGTTCTTCCACAGTGTATTTATAAAGATGTTATTGAGCACCTCGACGATGGCAATGTCTCTACTGTGGTGAGCATGGAAGCCTGTCTATCGAAACATCTGGTCAGAGCTCTTGAAAAAACCTGCACCCAGGCATATGAACTTGTGCCTGAGGCTTATTGCCAAAAATTCAGGAATCTTAGTAGAACAGCTAACCAGACCATGAAGCCAATAGTTGATCTTTCTGCCCCACAGACAACTCTGCAACTCTGTTTTGGAATATGTGGTTTCTGTTGTGAGCTTTGAGAAAATATTTCTGTCAAGATTTGGCTCTCTGAAAGCCTTTGTTTGGTCTCAAATGCTGCTTATCAGGCTGCATTGGAGTCAGCTAAAGCACAGTTGTGCAGTGCACCAGAACTAGCTGCACCACATTTTAAGGGTTCCTCTAAGTTGATGCCAGCTCATGTAGCAAAGGAGCTGTGTCATGATCTTAGTGCTGATGACTGGCTTAACTACTCATTTCCTTCACCTGCCTAACTCCGCCCGTTTTCTCATTATAGTTCATCTGATCCACCTGCTCCTGCTTCTATTTAATCAGCTCTCTAACATCAGTGCCACATTATTCACGAGCCAGTGGTGGGAGTATTTCAGCATTACCTTAAGTGTTTCTGATGACCTGATCCTGACCTGTTCTGTCTCTCAATCACTGAGCCCTCCTGTTACTGTCTGATCTGTTTTAACATGCCTGCTTCCAATCATCAGGCAAGATTATTTCAGCATTACCTTAAGTATTTCTGATTATCTGATCCTGTTAGGAATCCAGTCTGTGCCCTGTCCTTGTTGGTCTTCCTGCACACCTACGGCTGGTTGGATCATCACTGGGGAGTATTTGAGCGGCGGTCTGTCACTAACTCGACGCCAGAGTGTTTGCCAGTTTTGGGTACTCTACCCGAGCTGAGTTTAGCTTAGTCTAACTGAGTCTTTGTTTCTCTGAGTTCTAACGTTGTTTTTGTCTTTTGCCTTTCGGCAGGAAGTCATCTGGCATACTGGATTATTTGCCTTCTCCCCCCTGGAAGGATTTGTTTGAGCTTCACACTGAGCAGGGGATTTATCTCCTCATGTCCCATTTAAGTACTCCTGGAAATCTAAGTGGCAGTCCGCTCCATTGCTCCTCAGGAACCAACCAATTCAAAACCTGTCTGCCCTCCAACAAGCCACTCTATCTCTGGAATAACCCACACCGACTGGATACTGGGAAGTGAGTCCAGTTTACCTCTGTTTTTGCAAGACGAAGTTCAAAGTTCCCACGGACCCTGAACTAACTTCTTTGAACCTCCCCTCTTACTTCCAGTTCCGGTTCACCAGCCCTCTGTGTTCACCTGAATCCAACCCATTTTTTGGACTCCTAATAAACCTGTTAAACTTTTACTCTGGTTTCTCTGAGTGGTTTCCTGCATGTGGGTCAGATCTCTTTAAAACATCATGAGAGATCCTGACCTGTTCTTTATCTCAACCACTGAGCCTGCCTGTTCCCGTCTGATCTGTTTGCCTGGCATCTCTATGGACTCCTGCTGGATTCTGCCTGTTGAATGAACTTGTAGCTGTTTCACGTCATCAACCTGGTTTTCTCTCTGGAACCTCTTTAGACTTCTGATCTCCTGGTTCTATATCCCGAGCACGTCCTTGGTACCGACTTTGGCTTCGCCCCCTGGATTATCCTGCCTGCCTTTAACTGCCCAGATCTGGTCTCCTGTTTGATTTTCATCCTCCAGGGCTGCAGCATCTGGGACTCTATGAGCAGTGCCCGTTGCGTCTTGTTGACAGTAGACTGGCTGGATCCTACCTCCTTCTCTGGGCACAGACTGAAACCAGGTTAGTGACTCGCGTTCATAATCTCCCTCCACTAGATTAAGGTGGTCCCTCACCTGTGTTTCCTTTCTGCAGAGATTCCTGCCCTACACGCCCTAGCTGCTCCCTGCAGATCTGTTTTTAATAAACATTTTTTGAGTAATTGTACGTCTGTCTTCCTTGAAGACTGAGTCTGAGCTTTGAAAAGCTGTTCTTCTCCCAGCATAGATCTTCCTGTCTGCTACTTTTAAAAAAAGTTTGAAAAACAAACACCAGATTTATTACAGCTCTTGCCCAGTTACTCATATTACAAAACAAAAAGTTTCTGTTGATCAAGTGTGGAACTTGTTTAAGTATTTATAGACCATAATCTGTTAGTTTTTCCTTCTTATATGCACAATTTAAATGTAAGATTTGCACCGTCAAGATTTTTATCAGTCACTTAGTGAAACAGAGCCACTGGGATCAATCATCACAGAGGCTGCTACCTCCTGGCTCCTGAGAAGGTTAGTGGCTTATATTCAGTGCATCTAGTCATTCTCTGCCAACAACCCGCCTCCCCACCTCCGCTGGTTTATGTACCAATTTACTTTGAAATAAATTCTTTAAACTGTTTTTGACTGAATTAACAGGTCTCCAGATTCTGTCCATGCATTGCAGACCCTACCTCACAGTTTCCAGCATTCACATTTTAGATAGCTCGCTGTTTGTTATTTTGGCCTTAAGCTCAGCCTGACTTCAGCTTAACGTCCCCTTTTGTTGTCAGCCCTTCAAAATAGTTCACATTTTAATAAATCACCACATGAAGTCTAACACTGTATACTATGGTCGGGTAACTTGTAAAAATAAAACGATTAATGAATTTTTTTTAAATCATTATTAAACTAATGGGAAATTTAGGAAATGTAGAGATTAAATGTGAGGCTATTCTTATGTCTACCTATGTAAGAAATGACTACCCCCACCATGGCTGACTGGCTTTTAAAGGTACAAATCAGAGATGCCAAGAAACTAAGTTGAATCACTTGGCAACCAGCTTTTTTTCTTGGAATATAGATAACTAATATAATGCTGTGGATACTTTTACAGTAATGGATATTTAAAAATAGCAGCAACATCAGAGTGTGCACAGAATGTGCAAAATGACAGCATCAGGTTATTTAACTGACTAAGACAGAAACTGTTTAAAATCAGCATGAATGGAAGAACTGGTTGAGGTTGTTGGGAACAGTGGTGGTTCTAGAGTCTTCCAGCTGCTGGGAGGAAGGATCTGTGATAACGCTCCCTGGTGCATTTAGGGTGCAGCAGTCTGTCACTGAAGGAGCTGTCCAGTTCAGCACCAGCTTCATAAATGGGGGGGGAGACATTATTGGACACAGATGTTCATTTAGTTAGAATCCGTCTGTTTCCCACCTCCTCTACTGAGTCCAAAGGGAATCCAATCACAGAGCATTAATGGGCATTGTTGCCTAAATGTAGAGATTCAATTCTTAGTTTAGTATCATTTGCTTTCCACATTGATCTGAGCTGACCTTGTCTCTCTATGTTCCAAATGTCTCTCAGTATTGGTTTATAGCATGAAGTTTCTTTCTTTCTTTCTTTCTTTCTTTCTTTCTTTCTTTCTTTCTTTCTTTCTTTCTTTCTTTCTTTCTTTCTTTCTTTCTTTCTTTCTGCTGTAGCCTATTTAATATTCATTTGATATAAGTTTGATTCTTCCTCTGGTTTTTAGCCTTGTGTCTAGTCCACATGTTTATGATTCACCATCATCTCCAACCTGATCAATATTCCCTTGATCACCTGTTTTTCATCCATGTCCTGCTTTCCCTGCAGTTTTCCCTGCATTTGGTGATTAACCAGCAGAGACCCAGCTGTGTAGAAACTAACCTTAAACATGCACAGATCTCCTCTGGATGTTCTAGCGGCGTCTAGTAAAAACTGGCGGCAGAGATTATTGCGTAGCAGCTTTCTCTCCCCAGCTGATGATGACGTAGATGCGAGCTTCGCGGAAGACTGCTTTGATTTTTCCATTTATTTATTTTTTATGCGGAAGGAGGAGGAGGGGGGGGCGCGACCATTTCACACCTTCCGCTCTCAGCGGCTCCAGAGGATGACAGCCCGCAGAAGCTCTTAGAGGAAGGAGAGAAAATAACGCCTTATCTCAGATGTGCAAAGTCCGACACGCAGCTGAGTGGGCCAACTTCACGGAACACGCCACGGGTGAAATCCCGCGTTCATTAATAGGCTATTGATTGCGAAGATCTGAGAGAGAGATTTTCTCCACATCTTCAGGAGCAGCAGCAGGAGAGGAGAGGAGGAGAGGAGGAGTAGAGCGCTGATTCACGGCTTGCAGGAAGAAGGCAGAAACGCAAGAAGGAGATCCATCCCTACCCAGCGTGGAGTCCTGAAATACCGACCCACTCTCCTCCTCCTCCTCCTCCTCCTCCTCCTCCTCCTTCGCAGCTGACCCGTTCATCTGACAGGGGAGGAATCTGAGGAGGAGGGCGCCAAGGCAGGAGAAGAGTGATCCTAAACATTGGCAGCATTCTGCAGGCTGAGGGACCTGCATGCAGCCCTTGTCCATTAGGAGGAGACGGCAGCTTCACTGTGGTCTGCAGATGATATAGGAGCGCCTGGCTGCTCATCTACTCCACAGTAATAAAGAGGAGCTGCTCCGCTGTCTGCAGAAACTCACTCAGATCCAGGTGAGTGATAATTAACATGCAAACACGCGACCTAATGTGCTTCAGAGTGACACCTGTCATGCAGACTGCTGGATGTTCTCATTGCATATTTAGAAGGACAGGAATCACGTGCATTGATGCGCTCCATCATTCTGCACGCGCTGTCTCTAACCATCATCGCGCTGCAGACATGATCCATCGCAACCAGCACGTTGATTCGTGATGCTGTCTAAATGGGTGTGACATTTAATAACCGGCGTCTCTGAGCCACATTTGCAGCGGAGGCTTGAACTTTCCTCATCACCGTTATTATCATTCATTTCTTATCAACCTGCATTCTGCACTCCAACAAAGCAAACAAGGAAAGCATCGGCCTGCCCTCATCCTATAACAGGTTGAGCTGCTGTGGACCTATGGGGGCTCCAGAAGGGATTCCCCCCCTTCATGGAGGCGATGGCATAGTGAGAGAAACGGTCCTCATGATGATTAATCAGCAACAGCTGAGGCTCTGGTGCTGAGTCCATGTTTACGTGCTTCTCATATAGCCTCCTTAAACAGACCCACCTCCCAAAATAGGGGAAGGGAAGGAGATCTGTGCTCTAGACCGCCTGGCTGAGCAGGAACCACTGAAAGATGTGCTGAACAGAACAATCACACGCTGAGAAAACGACCTGTTTCGGTTCCTCAACAACAAAAAAACCCCACAAATAATAAATACATAGTTAAAATAAGAGTTACAATTGTGGCAAATCCACATTTTTTAGGAATTTTACAATGAATACTTCAGATTAAAGGAATAGTACACCCAAAACATGATTAGCCTTCATTTTCTACTCACCCCCATGCTGAACAACACTCTGGAGTACTTTTTTG